GTACACAAACCCACAAACCAACACTCAAACACACGCCGGTGAAAACATAGCCTCCGCCAAGCCCCTGGCGGAGGTAATTATGTATTTTTGACTACTTTTAGTGATAGTAGCCTAGACCCAAATAATCGAAAAGATAGAAAGGCCAGCGATTTCTCAAAACTTTTGCCGTTTTCGCTAACTTTAGGTTTGGTGGTACCATTTCTGGAACTCCTTCAGCTCTGGAGTTTTAAGCAATCTGATAAGAGCCGTACTAGTTAAAGGAGAATCAAGTAAGCACTGTATATTATATGAAATAACTTGATAGAAGTCTATATCGTATTCTACGCCATGATTATTAGTCATTCCTTGCAGTATATATTATCTAACCGGATTCAATATCTTGAAGTCTCTAGACAATCTGTATAACGCAGAATTCTAAAGTATATATATATATATATAGGTATATATATATATGTATGTATGTATATATGCATATATAAACAATCGATATACGAACAACATGATTGAACTATCGTTTTCATCCAGCTATCACCAATGACGCCATGTCTGATCTGGCATGTCTGATGTCTGGTGGTCCGAATGCTGTCAGTGGAGATGTTCCTGCGAGCTTGGATAGGCTAGCAGCCGCCATTCGATCATCTGCACATGCAAGGCGCTTTTTGGATCTAAACAGCACCGATGCCGTGAAGTTGCTCGACTCAGAGCAAAGTGGCGAGATAAAGAGCGTCTACGACGATTTCCTCAATAAGCACGGCCATAGGTAGAAAATTAGAGCGAGAAACACATAAGCGCGTACGGGGACCCTCACATACACACGCCAACACACGCACGCGCGCGCGCCCGCGCACACACACACACACACACAAATGCAATGATGCACACACACACACACACACACACACACACACACACACACACACACACACACACACACACACACACACACACACACACACACACACACACACACACACACACACACACGCACGCACAGCACGCAGCACTACACAACGACACACACATACTCACACACGCACCACGCCGCACGCACGACACGCACGGCGCACGGCACACCACACAGACACACACACACACAATGCACTAGACAGAGGGCACTCAAAAGAGAGTGCATACCTCGGCGTAGCGTGTAACATGTATACATGTGTCATAACAAGCTTGGCTCGCTGATCTGGCTGCTGCTGATGCACGCCCTAAGGCGAAGGCTGCTGCTGGACTGACGTCCTAAAGGCGAGCTTGGTGCTGAATCGATCGCGCAACGCGTGTAACATGTATAACAGTTTAAACAGGCTGGCTCGCTGCTGGCTACACACACACACGAACACACACACAAATAAAACCACACACGAAACACATACGAACACCACACAAGAACACACCACACGATACACACACACACGAACACACACACGAACAACACACACGAACACACACACGAAATCACACACACGAACAACACACACGAAACCAGATACACACGCAACACAATCACACGACAGTCATCAGCAATTACCTCCCGCAAAACCATCGTTTGCGCGGAGGTAATGACGCACACACAACACACACGCACACACACACACACACACACCACACACACACACACACACGCACCGCGCACGCACACGCACACCACACGCACACGCACACCACACACACAACAAGCGCACATACGCACACCGCACACGACCGCACGCACGCAACGCACGCACGCACGCACGCACGCAGCACGCACGCACACACACACACACACATCACCACACAACGATTAAGACAATACCGCGCACCACGCACGACCACCACCACCAGCCAGAGCAGCAGCAGCAGCAGTCAGGTCAGCAGCAGTAACAATAACAACGGCAGCAGCAGGCAGCAAACAGTAAGCATCACCAGCAATGCATAGCAGCAAAATAAGCAACAGAACATCACCGCTGCATCAGCACTCACATAACATCACATCATCATCAAATCATCATCCAGCGCAGCAGGCAGCAGCATCAAATCACAGCAGCCAGTAGAAACACGTTCTAAGCAGCAGCAGGCGCACCTCCGCAGGAAGTCCACACAGGAAACCTATTTTCTTTCCAAAACGCAGTTATTTCGATCAAAAATAAGAAACAACTTTTTAAATCATAAAGCATTCATTCTGTGTGAATCGTGCAACGTCTTAGTTAATATGCATGCACTGCTACAGCATGTGTTGAGAGCTGGAACTACGCGAAGAAGCCATGGCAGATCGAACCCCCCGAACAACTGATGAGCACACTGCAGCAATGGTTGTCAAAGATGCCATTCTTAAACAGAGAAANCACACACACACACACACACACACACACACATTACGACAATAGCACGCCGCCACCACCACGAGACCACCACCACCACCACCGGCAGCAGCGGCAGCAGCAGTAACAACAACAACGGCAGCAGCAGCAGCAGCAACAGTAGTATCAGCAGCATCAGTAGCAGCAAAAGAAGCAGCAGTAGCATCAGCTGCATCAGCATCAGCATAAGCATCATCATCATCATCATCATCCGCAGCAGCAGCAGCAAATCACAGCAGCAGTAGAAACACGTCATACGCCTATTTTCTTTCCAAAACGCAGTTATTCGATTCAAAAATCGAAATTATCATAAAGCATTCATTCTGTTGTTGTAATCGTGCAACGTCCTAGCCTAACATCACTACTACAGATGTGTTGGAGAACTGGAACTACGCGAGAAGCCATGGAGATCGAACCCCGAACAACTGATGAGCACACTGCAGGCAATGGTTCGTCAAGATGCATCTGCACAGAGAAAGAAGAAGCCTGCTATGTCAGTTGACGACGCCCTGAATACGATCACTTCACCACTGACCCCAATCACTAGGTGTGCAACTTACCTAATCACTCGCTCGAAGGGTGTGTAAGACCTTGGAGTAATCATTCTGACCAAATGATTACTCCAAGGTAAGACTAATAGATGTGATACAGCTTGTGATATAGGCTCTCACCTTGCACTATGCAGACTATATATAATATATAATATCCAGTTTTCCTAGGTGAGGGTTTTCTAATACGCGATTCAATGCGTCTGCTTATACCCAAACCTCCCAGCGAAACAATAAAGCACACAATTTGCGTGTATTTCAATGATCAGACGAATCCTCAAGTGGTTGGTTCCAATAGGACAAATCAACGTTTCACAGAGGGAAGCGACCAAGAACTGCGTAGTGTTGCAGATGGACAAAATGCGGCAGGGTTACACGAGATTGGCTCAACTTATGGTATCACAGGTAGGATTCGCACAATTAAAGCCATATTTGATCGTAGGCACGATTTCAAGAGTCGAGAATTTGCGGACCAACTGCAGTTGATTGGATGCAGGTTCTAAAGAAAGTTAGAAAATACAATACTGAACTGTTGACATTTGTTTTGCTTCGTGCGAAACATGAATGCGATCATTTCATCTTCGGCAAAAGGCCTGTACTGGTGTAATAATAATCTACAGCTACTTTACACTCCGAGCGTTGCAGCAGTATACGTACACCGATCGTGGCATTACGGTGACTACCTATTTGCGTTGCAGATGACGATATCAGTCAACATATGGCGTCTATCGTCAATATGTCTATAGCGTTTCATCGCGCCGTCATCTACTAGTGTAACTTACCGAGTCGATCTTAGCATCCCGATGATATGTTTCAGACGAGAATTCCTGACGCTGATCTGATCTTCTTCTTCACGCACGATGAACTCGGAGAGCTGCTGCGAACACGCTCCGCGAAACTCGTCCGCAAGGCGCAGCGCCGCCGCAAGATGTTCCCCGCGTTAAGAGCAATAAAATTTCCCGAATTCCAGCTTCGGCTATTCCAACGCCAATCTAAGACATCGCAGAAGAAGAGACGCACGATAATGTATCGTACAGGTTGCAAGGTAGTGATTGCGCTAATTTATGATTATGTATATATATATATATATTATATAATATATATTATATCAGAGCGTATAAAGAAGGTATACCTTCTTATACGCTCTTGATTAATATATATATATATATTATCTCTCTTCTCTCTTCTCTCTCTTCTCTCTCTCTTATATATATATATATATATATATTATATATATATAATATATATATATTGTGTATCATCAGATTTATATAAGCAGATACGAATTCCTCGTTTAACAAGGCCAAGAAACCCCTGCGGAAGCTTGGGTGTCATTTCCGCTGTAATAACACGCTTAGAATAATTTTTAGTTATAATATATAAAGAATCACGCCGTGTCATTGTGATTTAGGGATGCGGTGAGTCACGGAGTCGTGCGCAGTAGGTGTAGGATGTGGCTACGGTCGCCGATGCGCACGCCATTCAGGGCTGGAGACATCCTTATCACCCGACGTTACAGATGTAGGCTGGTCCCCCTACTATGGTCTCATCGGGCGGACTGAGTTACCGGAAAGTGTGGTCTCCTGTCGCACGGTAAATACCAACTAAACTTGTGGTCTCTACCAAATTTCATCGTATAGACTATAGGTGATTCAGTCGCACCGCCGTATACGTACAAAACATGTACGTATATCTACGAAATGGTATGAATCATACTCGTTGATCTGTGTTTAAATACTGCTGCGAACCCCTAGTTTACAAATCACCTCGTCTACATGTGGTTCATTTAGTTGATGGTGTATTTCAGGAGCCGTAGTTAGCGAGGGAGTACGTTTGACATGGCATCGTCAGTGCCAAGAATGCGATGACAATATTTAAAAATGGTAAGCATATAACCTATACATTACATGTCGCCTATATTAACCGATTTTGGTTTGCATTTGGAAAGTAAATGTTTGTCAACACTCGCCGATAATTATTCTAGATTTACAACGTCTCGTCTTAGTCTCGCGTTCTTTCATGTCCGCTTCTATCTTCTAGGAGACGAAGCCATTCTTAACGGAACGACTGGCTTTATAGAAAAAGCGAATAAAGAGGAACCTGAACTAGAACAGGTATAGCAGTATAGCACTCTTGCAATACAATAGCAAATTTACATTAATTACTGAATTTTAGAAAACAAAACGCATTTAAAATTTATAAGCGAAACTAGTTATATATAAAATAAACGTCGTAAAAACCTTATAAATTATATAAAATAAAGTTATAACATTCTGTAAGACATACTGCCGCATACAAGCACTATGGCATCATATCGATATGGCATTTCCATTTTAATTATTAGGCTAAAGATTGCACCAGTGATTAGGATGTCTGCATTGATGATAAGGAAAACGAAAAGCTCCAAACGTCTACAAAAAAACCATCCACGGCGATCACACACGTGGGAACCATGCAGGACAGCGTGGTCATGTATTAGATATAGGGAGGTGGTTAATTATCGCACAGGCAAGCGTAGGTCGGATAGACACACTAGACACGAACATGTTAATGCGCGATCTTCCAGCACAAAAGTCCTATATAGATGACGAGTGGTTCGTTCAACGATTCCACCTACACAAATACTGGAAATACACCACCATGTTCAGGTATGGTTCGATCTACGACCCCCGTACCTTCCCAAAGACTAGTAATGAGGGATCCATGTGCACGCATGGCGCGATTCCCGATCCACATCCAGGAGAAAGAAAAAGCACCTCATGTACGCGCAACCTCTCATCTAGAGCCATGCTCTCCCCACTGCACAATGTCACTGGCGAAGGATCACATTTACCAAGAACGCGGAATTTCCTAAAAGCCGATTGCTCGCAGTGATATGTTCTCACGTACGTAGCACTCAAACAACGTATAATATTAGGAAGTACCACCAGAAATGTATCATCGAACGTTAGATATAATAGTTAATAATAACTACATTATT